CCTGGGAAGGGAGTTGGGCCTAGAACGCAACGGCTGGTGACATCTACTTGTCAGCATTCAGAAGAAGCGCCCCCTGAAGCTTCCGCTAACCGATTGCCAGCCATCTAGAAGATTCTCGCCCCTGGAAAGGCCGTGACGCACTGCGCGCGGGCCGTGTGCCCTTCATGGCATAGGAGCCGTGACCGGAGATGTGTGTAAAGACGTGTGGAAGGGTGTCTTGTCTCGGGTAGATAGAACGCGATGGATCCAGTGCGGGCTGGCTGGGATAGATCGAGGCTGCGCCGTTTCGAGTCCGCTGACCCTCATGGGGCTCCGGGCCCTGAGACCCTCACGGCTCGTGGGCAGCCGGGCCTGCGCGGGTCACCCGGCCGGGCACGGAGGGCCTAAGCCGGGCGTGACGGTCCGATCCGGGAGACCCGGCGTTCAGTGCCGGGCTCGGGAGGCAGGCAGGACAAACTCTCAGACCCTCTCAGGGCCTCTTGCGGACAACTTAGGACGGTTGAAGGATGAGAGCAACATGGTTTATTCTAACGTAATCACGCCCTCCAGCATACGCAGCGACTTGAGCTTCCGGCTCGCCGCCTCTGTCGTGAGTCGTCTCGGCCATGATCATCTCCTCCTCCTCCGATGGGCGAACGTCCGGCTTGAGGACAAAGTTGCCTCGCGCGTCGATGGAGCGGGTGCCAATGGCGGTGGCGGAGGCTTGGAGAGCGAGGAAGGAGGAGCTGCCAGGCAGGACGCGGCCGTCCCGTGAGATAGCTGGCCGTCCAAGAGGACCGTCGGGAAGGCGCTGAGGTCTGGAGGCAGGCGCCTGCAGGGTCTCGGGGTCGTGCAGCAAGATGTGCGCACAGGTCATGGTGTGAAGCGGGGGAGGGAGATGAGCAGTCGGAGGGGGAGAGGGTCACTTGCCGCAAGAGAGGCTTAGAGCTGGTCGATGGCACAAGGCAGGCAGCAGGGCTGTTGTTGTATACACAACACAGAGATTGTCGACGACACGAGTAAAGTAAGGATGAAGAAGATTGAGAAGCAGGAAATAGAAGTCTCTAAGTTTACTAGGAGGTAAACTACGCACAACCACCACACTCACTGTGCATGCAAGTGGGGGACATTCAGGAGGCCGTCCGCACGAAATGCGTCCGCCTATATAGGGAATATCCGGCAGAGTATCCGACGAGTATCCGAGGTTCCGGATCCTCATGGATACAACAGCTGTGGTCAAGGCAGAGCGCACAAGGCAGTGGGAGCTCGATCGGGGGAAGGAAGCCTTTATAGGGAGGGGGAGGGGGCCTGGGAAGGGAGTTGGGCCTAGAACGCAACGGCTGGTGACATCTACTTGTC